TATCCGGACATCTATTTTTTGCCATATCTGTTTGCACAGTTTCCTCATACTTTCTGATGTTAGAAGTGGGAATATTGGATGAATACGTGCCTCTGCTATCGGTTTTCAACTCAGCAGTGACCTGACCTTGTCATGTGACTGTTGCTCTGAGTAGGAGTCGATTCACAGACGGGTTCACATGGTAGTTGTCGTCCAAGGCAGTTGCGAGAAAGGGATACAATCTCTCCTTTCGTGGTAAAATTGCATGGCGGCATCCACGGCGTCATGAGCCAGAAGCTGGTCTGCCAGCAGCTAGACATCAGCAGCAGCCAATTGCACATCTGCCTGAGGTGTAATAAGCTGGGACTTCGGTGGCAGACTCAGCCCGGTCGCGACCACAAAAGCCGCCCTTTGTCAAGTGGTGAGGAGAGTTGTCAGGATAGCGGCAAGGAAACGGCACCAATCAATCTGCAAATTGACTCGAATTCTTACCAAGTCAGATAATAAGAGATCCCATATCATGGTTTACCGCTACCCGCCCTTTAACTTGGTTCTAGTGCCCTTCAAACTGAAAAAGACAACGAAACTGACGGGAAAACAACCAGTTCACATCCTTTCGCCTCACGCCGGATCGCGTCCACTGGATGAAGAATGATAAGGGTGAGGTGGTCTGGTTGGATGGGTAGCCGTTCGAGCTGTTTTATCCTTTGAACCGTCAAATCGGCCATGTATGGGCGGCCAGCCGCTCGAACTTGCTGGCCTTCGCCGCCGTCAAACATCCGGACAATATCCAGAACTGGAGCATGTTCAGTTGCCTAGCGATCCTCCAATAGGACATAGTGTCACATAATACCACCATCAACGTCAAGTATTACCCCGGAGAAACATACTGGCTAATGAATAGTCGGAGGCGCTCAACCAGACGGTATAGGAGGGCTCGGTTTCTGAACGCGCACTGATGCCTGATTCAAGCCACGCTATCTTCATGCGGGGCGGCGCGCTACTTAAAAGTCCCTAAAAGAACGGGAAGTGATGCCGATAGAACCTTCAATCATTCTGGGCTAACGCTTATGACTTGGAAAAAGTCGCGATCCCAATTCAATTGAAAACCTGTGGGCTCTTGTTCAGCAGGTGACTGAAGAGACGCCCGCCACAAGCACCGCCCAACCGCAGGCACAGGTTTAGACGGCGTTGGTCCGCGTCAAAGCCAGTTTGCTGGAGAATCCATTGGCTGAAATGCTCCAAAACATTCGCCACTGTGTTTTTATGAAAGGTGGCTACATGCTCAGTCAAAATAAAAAGTACCAGAATGTGTTGCTTTTTAATAACAGCGGGAAGAAAGATGTCCGGATAATTTCGTTACACCCCTGTAATGTTCAAATGGTTGCTAAATTCGAAATCAGCTAAACAAAAACTAGCCTAGAAACATGTTAAACTCGAAAAAGTGAACCGGGGTCATCAAAGGTCATTGAGCTGACCTGACTTTCATGTGACACCCACCCTAATGCATGGGACGAGCATCATATCACATGTTTCAACGCTTGAAACCACTTAAAGACTGCAAACGCGCGGCTAATGCGAGCAGACATATCGCCGAATCGCGATTCGGGCCAAACATGGTCTCGAGAAACAGGTCACAGGTCAAAGGTCATTTGGGTCAGGGTCATGAAATTTTCAGGGTAGGAGTAAAATTGATAAAATCGGGGGTATTGAAAGTTTCGTCGCGATCGGACGGTTTTTACGCGAGTTACTCACGAAAAACCGATGGGGTCCGCTCAACGCCTCCCCCTATACGGGCGAGGGAAAAGCGCAACCAAAAAGGCAAAAATACGCACATGCGATAACCTATACTGCGAAAAAAAGGTGCATCATTTTTTAACGTCGCCGACAAATTGTAATTACCCCAAGCTCAGGCAGCTGTATGGTAGAAAATGCCCCAACTGAAATACACTACGGCGCAAATAAAATACCCTACGGCGGAGCTCGGTTGCAATTTGTAAATACGCATGTGGCCTCCTGCAGGGCTCTGACCAGCCAGTGAAGGTGACTGGCGAGGTGAAGGGACTCACCAAGGGCGACCATGGATTCCACGTGCACGAGTTCGGCGATGGCACCAACGGTACGATGGCCCAGAAGAGTGGAGATATGACTCATCGTTTCACCATTAAATCGTATTTACCAAGTATTTTCGGTGTGTGTCAACTAGTTACATCAACATGAATTTGCAGTCTGAGGTAGTAAAACTGCATTCCATAACACCAATGTCATATTTTATCTCCTCTCTTGCTCCCCATCTAAGCGTTTTCCGCCGACAGGCTGCGTTAGCGCCGGCCCGCACTACAACCCGTTTGGCAAGACGCATGGCGGGCCTGACGACGAGGTGCGTCATGTCGGCGACCTGGGTAACGTGACGGCGGGCGACGACGGCGTCGCCAAGGTGGACATCTCGGACAAGCTGCTGACGCTCTCCGGACCGCACAGCATCATCGGACGCACGCTGGTGGTAAGTGCCACGCGCGCCGGGGGTGGGGTTGGGAGTAGAGTTGCAAAGTTTTCCCAACGGGCTGCTACCGGCACCGCCCCGCCCCACAAAAATTTTCTGGGATACCGGCATGCTACCACGCCCCAAGCAAAAAAAACCGCCAAATTACCGGCATACCAAAAACCTGCATTCTTGATTCTGGCTTACCCATACATGAGATGCCACATTTTGGCAATTTCAGTAACCGACCCATCCAGCAGCCACCCATTGTCCAACCCAAGGCTATATAAACCGTCCAACCAAAACTACCAGCAGCCTGATGTTGGCTGAGTTCGCCCCACAAATACCACAATTTTGAAACTCAATTCCAGTCTATAGCTGTTAAAATATCACCTGTAATCTTAAAGGTATTGCCTAGAAAAAGCATTAACACATTCATCAAAAAAGCAAGGACAAAGAGAACTTGAATTACTGAAATGTGTTTCTGAAGACTGCACAATGAGCAGCAATCACATTTACCACAAACGTTCTTATTTTCCACATTCTCCTAAAATGTTGCAGGTACCAACCAAATAATGAACTATAGATAGTCACAGATCACAATATAAAAAAACTACAGATTCGGCCATGTTCCAAACTGAGGAAGCGAGATCAACATCAGCTTTTTCCTATCCACCAAGGCCATCCTATCCGCCATGGATTGCTGGCTCGTGAGTAAGATACGAATTACGAATCATGTAAAAATATGTGTTAATAACTCACTTGTCCTGGGAAGTCACCAAATAATATGTATAATTTATAAAAACGATATAATATCCTCCCCCATCTCAAACGCGGGAACAAACACAAGGTTATCAAGGATTTCGTCATTTTCGAAACAGATGCGCCATAACACAGTTTTTAACCAGCTGATTAAAAAACTGCAAAAAAAGGTTTTAGGACTGCAAACTTCTGCCTCGTGAATGATTTTATTGATAAAAATCATTCAACACGATATTGAATTCCAATGAAATCAACACTGTGAGTGTTATTCACTACAAGAAAATTGATTTCTCTTTAGTGATTCAACCAAAAGGGCATATGAATAAATATTACGTCATCAGCTTACATCCTTCTTTAGGGGACAGAGGATCTTAAAAGTCAATCCTTGGTTGCCTTTGCGCCACATTGCGCCACTTTGTATTCATTCCGTCTGCATGTTGTGTTTTCTTGTAAAGATAAGGCAAAATGCCAGTTTAATTCATTTTCATTTCATTTTGGGACCAAAGTTAGGCTCATGGCTACCTAACACCTGCCTTTTCAGCTGGATTTTCAGTGTCAAATTCTTTGTAGAATATCTCAGACCACATCTCAGGACTCAAGGCCAGTTTCCAAACAATGTGTTTTGTGTTGTTTTGATTCTGCCTTTTGCCTAGGGAATGTTGCCATGAACTTTTATTTATTTTAGTTATTGTATTATGCCCATTACCTACCATTAGACTTACTAATTGGTTGTGCTTTTGCAACATGAATGAGTATTCTTTGTCTTCCTTTGATAGACCACAGTAGATTCTTGACAATTGTAATAAAAGCCAAACCTGTGAAATGCTGAGGTTCATGTGTTACCCCTGTCCCCTACCCTTAGCCATGGAACTTCTACCACAAAATGTATTTTGCAGTGGCTAAGATTGCTGTTATTACAATTCAATAGCCTCTTAGTGTCCAAAGTTTGAATCATATGCTGATAATTTTTTTTGTGTGCAAAATCAAAAATACCGGCATGCTACCGGCAAGACATGCCAGATACCACGAAAAAACCTGCGGTAGTGAAAAATTACCGGCATGCCGGTAGTGCGGTAGGGAAATTTTGCAACTCTAGTTGGGAGGGATTGGAGTGAATGTTGGAGGCGGGAGGGGTGAAATGTGTTGTGGTGGTCGTAAGATTGGTGTGGTGAGGGTGGGCGAAGTCCGATGTGACAAAGGGAAAGAAGGAAGCTTCAGTTTGTAATGGTTGGGTGGTGGTGGGATTTTCTTGTGTCTGTTTGGTGGGCTTTAAGTAGATGGACGAGAGTTGAGGTTGAGGTGGATGGTCGTCATGTTGCATGAACGTTGTGCCTTTTTCTGTCCAGGATAGGTTGAACGGGTATTAAGCCCGGTTCCGACTACGGTCACTTCAGGCCCAATCAGGCCAGATCAGGCCCAATCATTCCCAAAAAGGCTGAAAAAGGCGTTCGGCCTGACGACATGCCAGTGCGAACCGGAGCGGCTGATCCGGCCTGAACTGGCCTGATCGGACCTTCAGGCCAGATCAGGCCGAAGTTAACTTCAAGTCAACTTTTTGGGCCTGATCGGGCCTGACGCTGCGCCCGCCATTTTGAATTTGCATTGGCGCACATGCTACATTTCACGGTAAACGTGTTTTTTGTGTCACTTCTGCGAAACGAAGGTACCATTTTTATTTTTGCAAATACACGCAAAAATAGATTCATCATGGATTAAGCACGAGACATTGCACATGATTTTTAGATGACTATTGTTGCCATTCATTTCGTCGGCATTTGGCATTTCATTCATTGAAGCCTACAGTTGTTACGGAAAATATGCCTAGCAGGTGGTAGTTGATTAGATTTCCAGTTAATTAAGAAAAACACGGCCTGATGGCAGTTGACAAGGAGCTCTTGATACATACTGTTGCAAAATACCCATGGCTGTACGATAAAAGTCACAGGTCATATAAGGATAACATTAAAAAAACTAATTCTTGGCACGAGATCTCCAAAAACCTGAAGATCACAGAAGATGAGGCAAAGAAAGTATGGACTGATTTACGGAACTCATACCGGAAGATCCACGCTCGGGTGAAGGCCGGGGCGCCGAGCGGGTCAGGAGCAACTGACGCCGCCAAACATCAAGGCTCCCGATGGTGGCTATACGAGTCAATGGACGCGGTGCTCAGCCAACACATCCAGCCCAGCCGGCAAGGTGGCGACAGCATAATGGTAGCCGCAAAGAAGGACGCCCCAAGATCGGCACTCGACGTCGATTCCTCTCAGAGTACCGAATTCAATTACAGCGCCAATGGTCAGCTGCTTGTGGAAGAAGCGGGCCCAAGCCTGCAAGCCCAAGCCCACGCAGGCAACCATGACTCACATGAGCCGTCGCTGCAATCACCGCACGAGGATGACAGCCAACTCTCTGAGCTGCAGCTCGAAAGGGACCACTCCCCGCCGTCGCCGCCGCTGCCACCCTCTGCTGAGATGCCGCAGTCGCTCCCGGCGGCGGCTGGCCGCAACTGCAACCAGTCGCCGTCGCCATCCGCCGCCGCACGTGGCCGACCTCCTGCCGCTGCCGACTCACGGACTCCTACCGGACCACGCGGTACAAAGCGAGCTCGCCAAGCGTCTCAAGAGGAATGGCAGGAGACCCTTGTTTCCTACTTGCGCACCAAGGAAGCTCGGCGGGACAAGACCGACATATTTGATGCCCTGGGAAAAATCGTGGCAGACCGAACTCGCCGCATGTCTCAGTGGAAAGCAAACCTAGCGCAGGTCAAAGTGATTGAGACGTTAAACATGATTGATGACATGTAGAGGCCATCTTTGACGGTTGGCTGTAGGTACTTGTTTTGTGTAATGCGCATTGCGTAGTGTGAACCACATGATTATCGCGTGTATTTTGCTTCTCACACTTTAGCAGGACATGCAGTTCGGCTATCAAATCTTAATATAACTGTTACGACTGGAACGTGCTTGTGTCAATCTTATTTGATAAAAATACAGCATTCGGCAGTGCACAAAGATCAGAGTCGAATAAAACTTCATACATTAAATATTAGCCCCCTACATGTGTCCAATGAAAAAACAAAAACAAAACAAAACAACGTCAGAGGCGGCAGCATCATTCACTCCCCATACACACACCACCCAGCACCCCGCTTATTCGGCCCAAGAGGGCCAGAGCTATAACGTCATGCGTTCAACGTGCCCTCGCATTTTCATATATTTACCCAATTTCCGGTGTTTCATGTCGCACAAACCGGACAGGATGAGATATTGGGACGATGGGCCCAGGACCAAACGGTTCGCCTATAAAAACACACACACAACCACGCCGACCAGCCGAAACGGCCTGATCAGGCCGAGCGTCCGACGCTCAACTTTGGCCTGAACGCCTGATTGGGCCTGATCTGGCCTGATCTGGCCTGATGTGGCCTGATGTGGCCTGAAGCAACCTCATAGTCGGAACCGGGCTTTACAGGACACTTTCAGGCTATGTATGCCATAGCTGGACGTGTGAATTCACGTCGTTTTGTTATGTTTGTGTGAAGCTCATTGTTGAGGAGGAAATGTGAGCAATATGTGCGCGAGTGCTGTCCACGCGCTAGAATAATTTCGAGTGAAAAATAAAGGAGAGCAGAGTTGTGAGAGACAACAGGAGGACAATATGTAGTGTTTTTTTACTTTAAGCATTTAAGTTAATTTGAAGCACAGTATTGTCAAACATTAAGTATTTAAGTTAAAATGAACACAACGCGAGGAGAATTATCACGGTAACATCTGGTGCATGTGACCACGGATTTAAGAATGAACGAGCCGAAGTTAAGAAGAAGGCGGAACGCTTACAAAGCCCGAGCTGCTAAGCTGAAGAGGGAAATTGAAGAGCTTTTGAGCAATGATGGAGAAAGAAGTGTCATCGAGCATAAATGTGATCAACTCAAGGAACAGCTGAAGACGATCAGGGAGGTCAGTGAGAACATTTGCGACATATTAGAGACGGACCAAGAAGCGGAGACTTTCATGGAGGATACGTACCAATTTACTGACGCCTGTGAAGACCTCATCATGACAGTCTCCAGGAAAAAGACCGAAAAGGACAAAGAACAGACAAAACAGGATGTGGAGGTCTCCGTTAAGGGCATCAAGCAACCCGAACTACCAGTGTTCGAGGGAGTCATCGCCAAGTTCGAAGACTGGGAGGTGGTTTTTGACGCGTTCATTGGAACCTCAAGGATTGATCCAAAGTTGAAGATGCTCTACCTAAAGAACAGCCTCTCTGGCGAAGCGTTGAAGCTCGTAGAGGGCTACAAACCATCTGAGATGGGCTATGCAAAGGCAAGAGAGGCCCTGACAGATAAGTACGGCGGAAAAACAAGACGGATCCGACATGGCCTCAATGACATTCGGCAGTTCTCCAACATCGCCGAGGGAGACACCAGGCGCCTGGAGCAGTATGCCGATAAAGTGAGCTGCCTTATCACTTTATTGAAGGAGAGTGGCTCAGTCGACGACTTATCAGATGTGTCGGCATACTACATCTTGGTGGCCGAAAAACTGCACCATTCGTACATAAAGAACTACCAAAGATGGCTGACAACCGCAGGCCAGGAAGACAACTTCGGTAACTTCGCCGAATGGCTATCAGAGGAAGCACGATGCGAGAAGAAAGCGAAGGAGATGGCGAGGACCGGAGACGAAACAAAACCAGGAAAACAGAAAACTGGTGGGAAAAGAACGTACGCTACGAACAGGATCAGCAAGCAGCATGAAAATGGTGAAGAGCAGACAGTTTGTGTGGCATGCAAAGCGCGTCATTTGCTACAGGATTGTGCAGAGTTCCAGAGCTGGAACGTTTCGAGAAGATATGGGCTGTGCAAGTCTGAGGGAACTTGTTTCAGATGCCTCAGTGGAAGACACCGCGGGACTAGTTGCAGGAAATTCCCAGGATGCACAGTTGATGGATGCAACGGCAGTCATCATACTCTCCTCCACGCTGAACGGCAGGAACAAGAGCAGCGGCAGAGAGCCATGAACCGAGACCAGCCTGCGAGGTGGCAGAATGCGGCTGATATAAACGAGTTTCATCCATCTAAGCAGACCAGTGGAGCCAGTGGCAGTGGTACTACGAGCAGGGCTACCAATCAGAGCTCAAGCTACAAGACAGCGACTGCAGAGCAAGAAGCCACACACGGGAAGATAGCCTTCCAGGTGGCACCAGTCTTGGTTCAACACAAGAACCGCTCGGTCGTTCTCAACGCTCTGCTCGATCCCTGCTCCGATGCCTCCTTCATTACTAAGACTGCTGCAGGCGAGCTGGGTTTCGATGGACCAGAAGAAGTGCTGCAGCTCAGCACAGTGAATGGAAAAGAAGACGTCAGCATGAAGACGGGGGATGTGCAGCTTTCAAGTCTGCACAGCGCCTATGAAGCAGAAATCAAAGTCCACGTGATTTCAAGTCTCGATGGTGCATCAGTGCGTACAAACTGGAACACGGTGAAGAGCCAGTGGCCGCACATGAAGACCGTACCATTTCCGAGAATGAGTGGCGGCAGTGTCGACATTCTGATCGGCCTCTGTGCGGTGACGACCCCGCTATTTGTGCCTCTGAAGACCGTGAAGGGCGCCGATTCCGACCCAGTGGCAGTTTTGACTCCCCTGGGGTGGACGGCATTCGGTGCGATAAAGAAGTTCGCCGAACATGGATCCTCTGCGCTGAAGATGAGGGAGAACATGTCGAACTTTTCCAGAACACTGAGGACGCACGTCTCAAAGACAACATGTAAAGAAGAAATCGAAGCAATCAAGTGCATGACTGACCTAGAGGTACTTGAAGTTAGAAAATCAGAAGAAAGTCTGATGTCACGTGAAGAGCAGGAAGCAACAAAGAAGGTTTCGAAGTCGCTGGTGTACAACGGTAGCCGCTATCAAGCAGCTGTGCCATGGAGGGATCAGTGTCGCTATTCGTTACTGCCCTGTGACCTTTTTTCTCCTCATGTTACCGTACCGTATTTGTTTTCCATCGTTACTGTGTTGTATCCTACCTTTCCTTTACGCCCCGTCATTTTATTTTACTCATGGCAGCCCATTTGGTAACCCCTGCATCCTTCACGAATATTTTTCCTAACCGCGCCGATTTCGCTTTGTTGTCGTATTTCGTTCTGAGTTCTGTCGCCACCGCCGCCGTGTGAGGTTGTGTACCGCCAGTGTGCTATCTGCTGCCACCACCGCCACCAATATAATTGAAGTGCTCATATATTCAAGCTTTTTTTAAGTCAAACCAGAGAGCCGGCCCTATTTATTTCATTTTGATTTTCAACATAGTCCTCCGGGCCGGATGACTTTTTGATTTCTGTTAAATTTGCTTCTTTGATGATTTGCTGATTGATTTTGACTGATCAAGACTGAGATTGACTTGTGAATTGTGTATATCAAGATGGAGAGTGAGGCACAGCTTAAACAGAAAAGGACTGTGGCTCGAGGTAAGGCAACCAGACTGATGAAAGAGCTTGCCGAATGTGATAATTCTCAAGAGGACGACCTTGCCTTGGCAATACACCACCTTGAGCAGCACGTTGATCTGATGACCGGGATCCAGGTGAGCCTGACAAAGCTGTCTGTGCCTGATGATACCTCGCATATTCAGGATATGCAGGATCAGATTTTCAAAGCTAAGCGTGTGCTTGCTCGTCTGGAAAGGAGCTCTGAGGTCTCTGTTGGAAGGGCTCAGTGTGTGCCGCCTTACCTGGGGGGAAAGCTGGACCTGAAGCTGCCCAAGTTCTGTGGGGATGTGGAAAAGTGGTCAGAGTTCTGGAGCCTGTTCTGTGTATCTGTCCATGACAACCCTGCTTATGCACCTGTCGAAAAGCTGGTGCACTTGAAGGCGCACCTCGTCGATCAGGCTGAGGTGGCTGTGCAGGGTCTTCCCATCACTGACCAGGGCTACTTGAAGGCTGTGGAGACCCTGAAGGAAAGGTTTGATCGCCCAGATTTGTGCATTAAGGTGCTGATGCAGAGATTGTTGTCCACCACCCCTGTGCACAGTGACAATGACTTGGTCCGCTTGCGCCGCATGATTGATGGGCTGGTTTCTGAGGTCAGGGCGCTGGAGACGATGAACGTGTTGCCTGACTCATATGCTGTCCTGCTGATGCCTGTGCTATTGTCGTGCATCCCTGAGTCATGGAAGATTGAGTGGCTGAGATGCAGTGCTGACTCATCTGATGAACTCACAGTCTTCCTGAAGTTCCTGCAGAAGGAGATGAGCATCAGGGAGGAGGCAGCTGCTCGGAGGAAGAGGATCACCAGTGAGCAGCCACCTACCGCAGTACCTGGGAAGCCAACAGTCAGCATGCTGAACGTGAGGCAGAAGAAGGGACCTGACTGGGTATGTCTGGCATGCGGAACGGGTAAGCATGGCCTGGCTGCGTGTTCGGCCTACCGCACCATGACTGTGCCTGTTCGCTGGGATGTTGTGCGCCAGGCTAAGCTCTGCTACCAGTGTCTTGGTCCCCATCTGCTGCGTGCTTGCCACAGCACCCGATGCCCATGGTGTGGTGGCCCGCATCACTCGTCATTGCACCCACCGCCAGGAGAGCATGCAGCCCTCATGCCTACTGAGAGATGTGTACCTGATCGCGGACCTCTGTCACCCCCTGCCGCTGCTGCTGTGTCTGAGAGTCGCATGCCTGATCGCAGACCATTGCCGCCCCCTGCTGCTGCTGGTACTTTTTCTGCCAACCAGGGACGGATGTGCATGGGCGTGCGGAGCCAGCAGCACTGCTACGTGCAGACGGCGCTCGTGGAGGTGGCTGGTCCTCGGGGCGTGCGTCTAGTACGCGCGCTGATTGACGGCGGGGCAGACGCCTCCTTCATCCGGGCTTCACTGGCTGACCAGCTGGGACTCGAGAAGGTCGGCCAGGGGACCTTCGCGTGCGTCGGATTCAAGGAGAGAGTTGAGGAGGCTCACCAGTACGACCAAGTAAGCGCGCGGCTCACTGGATACCAGAAAGGTGAGGCCGAGCTTGTGTTCTGGAGAACTGATAAGCTGTGCGCGCCCGTGGGAGCTCCACCACCCATTCAGTCTCTGCCCCCAAGTGTAGAGCTTGCTGATGACTTCCGTGACGGACCTGTTGATGTTCTAATTGGGTGTGATCAGCTGTACAAGGTGGTGTTGTGGAACCAGGTGGAGGTGAATCCTGGCCTCCGCCTGGTGGAGACTGTGTTCGGGTATGTGCTCCACGGACAGTCCCCAGGCCAGCAGACGACCCGGCAGCGGCACGCCTACCGCTGTCAGCTGGTTGACGTCGAGCGAATGTGGACGCTGGACGCTGTGGGAGTCGCCGCAGAGGAGACCGCCGAGAGAGACCCACCTGTACCGACTTGGAACGCCACCGAGAACAGGTATGAGATGGGGCTAGTATGGAAGTCCGACCAGCGCCCAGTGTCTAACCTGATGTTATCGAAGACCCGGACTCACCGTATGACAGAGAAGTTGAATGTTGAACAGTTCCAGGAGTACGATGACCACCTGCATCAGCTGCTGGAAGACGCTGTCATCGAGCCCGCGCTGCCGAGTCCGCCATCAGAGTTCATCTTACCGCACCGAGGACTGCACCGCAACGGCAAACTGCGAGTGGTGTTCGATGGATCAGCGCCAGACGGTGCAGGTATGAGCCTGAACTCCTACCTTGAGCCGGGAGAGAACCTGCTGCATCGTTTACCAGCTGTGCTACTTAACTTCCGTTCAGGAGCCGTGGGTTGTCAGACGGACATTCGTGCAGCTTTCCATCAGATTGTACTCACTGAGGAGGACCGTCAGTTCGTGCAGCTGCTGTGGGCGGGCCAGCGGCTGAGGTTTCGCAGGGTCCCGTTTGGACTCACCTGTTCGCCCTACATGCTGCTGTGCACTATCGCTGAGCACGTCCGCCGGTGTCTGCGCGATGAACCTGTTCTGTTGCAGAAGGTTCAGGATTCCGTCTACATGGACGACATGTGCCCGTCCTTCAGTACGAGGGCGGAGGCGGAGGTCGGACTGACGAAGATGGGTGACGTCTTCAGCGAGGCCTCCATGGATCTTCACAATACCAGGATGTCTGGTGACGACACTGAGGACGAGAAGGTGCTCGGCCTACTGTGGAGCACAAGATCGGATCGTCTGGCCGTGACCGTGCCACAGGTGACCTGCCCTGGCACCCGGACTGAGCTGCTATCTGCTGTGAGTAGACCGTTTGATCCGCTCGGCGTGGTGACGCCGTGGCTGATCTGGGGGAAGGCCCTGTTTCAACGTACCTGGCTTGACGCTCAATGCACATGGGATAGTCCCCTGAGTGGGGAGCTGCAGACCGAGGTCCGAGCCTGGTGGAGAGACTCGCCGGGGAGGGTGATCTGGTTCCCTCGCCTAGCCGGAGCGCGTGACGATCAGTCCGGAGCGACTTTTCACGTGTTTTGTGACGCGTCTCGGACCGCCTACTGCGCGGTGGTGTATGTGGTCCAGGGTGGGGAGCCTGCCCTGGTGATGTCGAAGAGTAGGCTGGCCCCCCTGTCTCCACATCTAACGATCCCCAGGCTGGAGCTGATGGCCGCTGTTGTTGGAGCCAGGTTGATGGACTTCATCAAGAACGCGCTGCATCTGGAGAGCGCAACAGTCACCTACTGGTCCGACTCGACCGACGTGCTTCACTGGCTCAACCGGAGGCGGCCTCTCAAGATGTTCGTGGAGAACCGGGTGAAGACTGTGCTTCAGTTGACGACCGCCGACCAGTGGAGGTACGTCAGAGGCTCTGATAACCCCGCTGACATAGGCACGAGAGGGGTAACGCTGACCTCACTCATCGCCTGTGACAAGTGGTGGAAGGGTCCACCATTTGATTTGAGTCCGCCTGACTATGATGCCTCGTCAGTGCTACTGACACCTCCCTCAGCAGAAGCCGAAGCAGAGACGAGGCCCGAGGTCAGACGTCAGATCGTGGCCGTGAGACGAGAGTGTGGCCCTGATCCGATTCCAGACGTCATGCGTGGACCGTTTGATGTGACTCGGTGTTCTCATCTCAAGCAGGCAGTGAACCGCACCGCGTGGATTCTTCGTTTCGCGCACAACGCCAGGCACCAGCGCACTGAGAGGAGGAGTGGAGCGCTGTCACCCGAGGAGCGCCGGGAGGCGCTGCGGTTCTGGATCCGGGTCTCGCAGAGTGCCGCCTACGCGCCGGAGCTGGAGGCGCTGACGGCTGGCGCGCCGCTGCCACCCAACTCGCGACTCGAGAAGGTCAGACCTCGTCTAAACGCAGATGGTGTCCTGGAAGCTGTCACGCGAACTCACGAACCTGCTCTGATCATTCTGCCTGAGTTTGCCCATCTGACCACCTTGATAGTGGATGATGCACACCGTAAATCGTTTCACCAGGGTACCCGCACCACACTGGCACTGCTGTCTGGTGAATACTGTGTGAGGAGACGAACTGTTCATCGTGTAGTCAGTACATGCTTCAGGTGCCGGAGGTACCGAGGTGCGCCGTACCGGTCAGCTGATGGCGCGCTGCCCCTGTTCAGGACGGAGCCCAGCCGTCCGTTCAGCCGGGTCGGTGTGGACTTTTTCGGTCCGATGTACGTCAAGGGCGGCGACAAGGTATGGGTACTGCTGCTGACCTGTGCCTCGTCGCGAGCTGTGCATCTCGAACTGTGTAAGACTCAGAATGTCGCTGACGTCAAGTTGGCTTTGCGCCGCTTCTTTGCGCTACGTGGCACCCCATCGCTAGTTGTGAGTGACAATGCCAGAACGTTTCATGCCCTGCTCGGGCACCTACCTGCAGCTGTGACCTGGCGCTTTGTACCCGAGGCGGCGCCCTGGTGGGGCGGCTTCTGGGAACGTTTGGTCGGGATAACCAAGAAGTCCCTGCGCATTACCCTGCACCAGTGTTATCTTACCCATGAGGAGTTGGCAGTCACCCTGTATGAGTTGGCGTTACAACTGAACTTCCGACCTCTCACCCCAGGTGACGACGACGTGCTGACGCCCGCGCACCTGTTGTTCGGGGTCACGTCCATCCGTGGCGTGCTCTCTCCGTCTGGCCACGAGCTGGACAGCCTGAGTCGGCGCTGGCGGCACCAGCGGCTGGTCAGCGAGCACCTGGTTCAGCGATGGACCAAAGAGTACCTGCAGGCTCTACGCACGTGGAGCTTCTCTCGGCGCGGCCGTCCGGTTCGGCTGCCCGAGGTCGGAGAGATTGTGCTGGTGCACGCGGAAGGTCCGCGTGGTCGCTGGCCTCTGGCGCGCGTGGTGTCCCTCCTGTCTGGAGCGGACGGCCGCGCTCGCGCGGCGAGTATCGTGCTAAGAGGGCGACTTACCCGCCGCCCGATTAACAAACTGTTGAGACTAGAGGCGTCGGAGTGAAGTGAGCGTCGGCGAGGCGAGTGCCGAAAAAGTGACTGTGTGCCGAGTGAGGAGAGACTTTTCGAAGTGACGGCTCACTTCGAAAGTGGGGAGTATGTCGCTATTCGTTACTGCCCTGTGACCTTTTTTCTCCTCATGTTACCGTACCGTATTTGTTTTCCATCGTTACTGTGTTGTATCCTACCTTTCCTTTACGCCCCGTCATTTTATTTTACTCATGGCAGCCCATTTGGTAACCCCTGCATCCTTCACGAATATTTTTCCTAACCGCGCCGATTTCGCTTTGTTGTCGTATTTCGTTCTGAGTTCTGTCGCCACCGCCGCCGTGTGAGGTTGTGTACCGCCAGTGTGCTATCTGCTGCCACCACCGCCACCAATATAATTGAAGTGCTCATATATTCAAGCTTTTTTAAGTCAAACCAGAGAGCCGGCCCTATTTATTTCATTTTGATTTTCAACAATCAGGAACCTCAGCTGGTCAGCAACTATGAAGCAGCGATGCAGCGTCTTGTTCGACTTGAGCAGTCCTTGAAGCGACTTGGAGGCGACCTGCCTGCCAGGTATGGTGCGATTCTTGAAGAGTACGTCAAGAAGGGCTACATGAGCAAAATCCTCGCATCCAAAAGAGAGCACAGTGGTGAAAAAGAGTGGTTTTTACCACACTTTCCAGTCGTCCGAGAAGAAAAGGAGTCGACAAAGGTCCGAATAGTGTATGATGCAGCTGCAAAGTATCAGGGAGTGAGCCTGAATTCACAGCTTCTCCCAGGGCCGTCTCTTTATACTGACCTGGTCGAGACACTGCTCGGATTTAGACTGCATCGCATCGCACTGATCGGTGACGTCTGCGAGATGTTCTTGCAGGTCGAGCTGGCTCCGGATGACCGCAAGTATCACCGAGTACTGTGGAGAAACATGAAGGACGAGGAACCCACCGTATACGAGTCAAACAGATGGCTGTTTGGAAACGCGGCCGCTCCATTCGTCGCACAGTTCGTGCTAAAAGAAAACGCCAAGAAGCACGCCAGCGCGTTTCCGCTGGGCTCTGAGGTGCTACTGAAGCATTTCTACATGGATGACGGCATCCAGTCCTTCCGAACCGAACACGAGGCTGTAAAGGCGAGAGAGCAGGTCAGTACCATTTTGGAAGATGGTGGCATGAAGATCAAGAAATGGATGTCTAACAATGCGAGTGTGCTGAAGGCCATCCCCATCGAAGACAGAGCAGTCAGCTCTCAGCACTTCTTCGAAGATCAAGGCTCGGTACCAACCAAGACGCTTGGAGTAGTCTGGTCAGCAGACGAAGATCGCCTGTCCATAGACACGTCAAAGCGAGGAGGCCTCTGCGGAGAACTGACCAAAAGAGCGTGCCTCAGGGAAATGGCATCCGTCTTCGATCCGCTCGGTCTGTTCGTGCCGCTCACCATTCGAGCGAAGATGCTGTTTCAGCAGACGTGGAACAGCGGAGTAGACTGGGATGACGCCTTGCCAAGTGACCAGCAGCTGAAGTGGCGTGAGTGGTTTAAAGATATACTGCAGCTCAGCAGCCTTTCAGTGCCAAGATGTATTCATCCTTTCCCAGACGCTACCCTCAAGGAGATTCACGTCTTCTGTGACGCCTCGGAGAAGGCCTACGGCACCGCTATTTACGTCGTCTCCGAATGTGAAGGTAAACGAGCTTCTCAGCTCGCGCTGGCTCGCGCTCGGGTAGCGCCACGAGGGAAGATCCAAACTATTCCAAGACTGGAGCTCATGGGCGCCCTGCTAGGATTGAGGCTTGTGAAGACGCTGTGCACAGCAATGAACAAGACACTAGAAGAGGTGCACTTTTGGTCCGATTCGATGGACGTGCTGTGCTGGATTCGGAATGAGGTTCGCTGTTTTCAGCCGTTTGTCGCCCACAGGATATCAGAGATCTGTGAGGTGACGTCACCTGAACAGTGGCAGCACGTGTCGGGGACAGACAACCCGGCAGATGCGCCTACCAGAGGCTTAAGTTTTAGTGAGCTGAAAGAGAGTCGGCTCTGGATGGAAGGGCCCAAGTTTCTGCTAGAAGACAGTAACGAGTGGCCACCGAAGAAGAATTTTCAAGCGGAGCAGTTCGACAAGTCTGAGTTTAAGAAGGACCAGAAAAGCACATTTGCTGTGAGAGCTCAGTCAGGTCCCAGCTGCCGACTTCTCAACCCGGAGGACTTCTCAAGCTGGACAAGGCTTTTGAGAGTCACAGCCTGGGTGCGGAGATTCGTGAAAGTTCTGCGGAGGGAAACTGCGAACAGAACTCAACTGGACAAGGAATTGAAGCCAGAGGAGATACTGGAAGCAGAGAAGTTCTGGGTGCGTCAGGCTCAAAAGGACTCGTTCCCAGAAGAAAGAGAGCAGCTCGAACGAGCGGCGACGACCGGCACAACGGCACGGAAAGCCTGCCGGCGAAGCAGTGTGAAACAGTTGAGTCCATTTCTGGATGAAGATGGACTCATCCGAGTGGGTGGTCGACTGCAGCGATCGGATCTGAGCTTCGAGACGAAACATCCGATGCTGCTACCGAAGAACCACATCATCAGCAAGCTGGTGATTCAGCATCTTCATGTGAAGGCTGAACATGGCATGGGCATTGAGCACACTCTGGCTGACCTCAGAATGCGATTCTGGATCCCTGCAGCGAGAGAGATGATAAAGTCCTGCTCCCGAAAGTGCGTCACATGTCAGAAGCTCACAAACAAGCCCGAGGAACAAGAGATGGCACCGCTGACGACGTCACAAGTACAGTCAGGTGGTCTGCGAGCCTTCGAGGTATGTGCAGTGGACTACGCTGGCCCGTTCCGGACCAAGCAGGGACGAGGGAAGGTGCGACAGAAGCGCTACTTATGCATCTTCGTGTGCCTGCGAACAAAGGCGGTTCATCTGGAGATGGCGTACTCACTGGACACCGCCAGCTTCCTGCGCGCCCTGATGCGATTCATGTCGCGCCGCGGCTGTCCAGCAGAGATACGATCAGACAATGGGAGAAACTTCGTGAGGGCCGCGAAAGAACTGAAGAAGGAGGTCCAGGAGCTGGATGGCGAAGAAATTCAAAGAGAGCTGTCGCAGCATCAAACGAAGTGGACTTTCAGTCCACCTGGAGCACCTCACTTCAATGGGGTTTGTGAGGCGCTCGTGAAGGTAGCCAAGAAAGCACTGACGAAGACGTTAGAACGAGCGGATCTCACCGATGAAGAGCTGCAAACAGCCTTCTGCAAGGCTGAAGGACTTCTGAACTCACGGCCCCTTACAGCCGTCTCTTCCGATCCCAACGATCGGCCGCCGCTGACACCGGGAGACTTCATCACGGGACCGTCGAGAGTCGAGATGGCTTCCTCAGCAGGCAACGAGGGATGCAGTCTGCGACAGCGCTGGCGACGCTTACAGCAGCTCAACACAGAGTTTTGGCGTCGCTGGTTGCGTGAGTACCTGCCGACTCTGCAGGTGCGGCAAAAGTGGACCGAAGCTCGACAGAATCTGAGGGAAGGAGAAGTTGTCTTACTTCTCGACCCGAGCGCACCTCGAGGAAACTGGCCGATGGCGAGGGTGGAGAGGACGTATCCTGGCTCAGACGGCCTGGTCAGAGTGGTGGATGTGAGAACGCCAAAGGGGCTTCTGAAGAGACCAGTCACCAAGATCATTCGGCTGGAGATGGAGCAGTGACTTGCTCCAAAAGACGATGGGGTGAAGTTCTGAATGACATGAGGGGGTCATTCAGGGTCGGGGGAGATGTTGAGGAGGAAATGTGAGCAATATGTGCGCGAGTGCTGTCCACGCGCTAGAATAATTTCGAGTGAAAAATAAAGGAGAGCAGAGTTGTGAGAGACAACAGGAGGACAATATGTAGTGTTTTTTACTTTAACCCTCGCCGGACCTATTGGTTTTCTACATACGCGCCGGCCGAGGGGGGGGGGGCGGGTACGACCCCCCCCCCTCGCCGTTTCGCCCCTGGTGGAGCTAGCGCGTCGCGGAAAAAACGAGCGTGTGCGCCGTTACGAGACGCAGAGATTGGTACCCGATTTTAAGGTCCTAGGTCAACCGGTGACCTCTGAGGTCAGGTCAAGTGCCCCAAGGTACGGTTCAGTTTTTGGTGAATAACTTCGCAAAAAACGGACGCAGAGCGCCGATTTTGGCAGCATCGTGTTCGTCTCGCTCAGGCGCGTCGAATGATATGCTTTTTGTCCGGGTCAGGTCAACTTGGGGTGTTGACCTCAGGTCAAGGTCAGGTCAGCACCCCCAGGTCACGAAGTTGGTCGAAAGGGGTCATGTCGCATATCATTCGATTCGGCAGGTCTTCCTGAGTCCATTGGTGGCTTTCCCGACTCGCTGGCTCAATTTGATCAAGAGTTATTGACGAAAAACTAATATGACCTTGATGACGTCAAAAATGACGTCACGCAAGGTCAACATTGCAAAAGTGACGCATCTAACCTTGCAAGGAGTGCATAAAATCACGATTCTGTGTGCTTGAGATAGTTGGAGATCGTTCCCGGCGCCAGAATAGCAGTTTGAATTTTTTCCCATTGACTTATAATGGTGAGGTCACGAAAATGACCTGACCTCATATGACCTTTAGGAAAAATCCGAGATATACAAGTTGTGGGACTCATAATGGATACTAGATCCTGCAAGTTTCATTTCCCTGTGACATCTCCTCTGGCAGTGAGGGCGTTGCGAAGTTGCGACATCTGAAGACCGTGCAGAGGTTCACTTATGACGTCATAGGTCAGTGACCTGACCTGACCCAAAAATGCGGTTGGTGTCAAAAGATGCGGCTTGGATCAAAGGTCAGGTATGCCTAGTTTCAGCTCTCTATCGCCAGCGTGTTCGGAGCTATCGCGAAAAAACCCTATGGGGGGGGCGGCACCCGCCCCCCCCCCCCTCGGCCGGCGAGGGTTAAGCATTTAAGTTAATTTGAAGCACAGTATTGTCAAACATTAAGTATTTAAGTTAAAATGAACACAACGCGAGGAGAATTATCACGGTAACACTCATTTCAAGTTCTTCAAGTCATGGAATCGTGATTTCAACTAGCTGAAAACAGTGACTTGGCAGAGTCGCATCATTACAGTTTCCATGATTTGAGATGTGCGTGGATGACTTCTCACTACCTCAAAGTCATTTTAGCAGTCATTTTGGCAGGTAGCTCAGATTACTTGTCAGGATGATTTGCAAAAATATTTAAGACGCAGTGTAACCATTGCCGTTATTTTTGGTTCACATGGGGCAGTAGATCCATACGCAACGCTCGTATCTTTACATAACCCCAGAGAACTATTACCTGCTTAGTCTTTAGCTATCGACCGTTTTTATAGCGGCTCTACACCGTTTTGCGTTACGTACGTCTGTTCCGCGGCGTGCCGGGTGATGGGTAACGACAAACCCTCAGCTGAAGTCTAGCAGAACCCAGACGCCGTTAACGTAACTGCCGCCATCATGTATGCTCCTGGCGTCCGTTGAGTGTGCCCAGGTGCCGCATGCACCTGAACGAAACGGCCAATGACGCTCTTCGTCACACGTGCGGCTCTTTTGTCGTCTGTGGTCGACCGTGCACACTGAGCACATTGACTCGCCCCCGGTCGCGGCGCCGGCTGGAACCTGCTCCCCCCCCCCTCCCCCGGTGTGACCTTCAGTCTGTGTATTGCTCACTTGCCGGTGACCTCCAAAGCCAGGCGACTGGGCCGCGGTGAGCCGGCGGTTTGTTCCCGCTCCGAGCCCGGCGCAGGTAGAGCTGCAACTTTTGTCGCCGCACCGGAGCCAGTAATATGAGATGAAAGTCAATAAGGCCATAACTGCGGTAGTTATCAATTTTATATACCTATTGTATAAATGATCCTACGCTCCAGAATACTAGCAGATTATTCCTTCCTGTTTATTCCCTCCTCATGATCTCCCCATGACCACACCGGACGAACGTCATTGCAGCCATTGAAGGGCTTCCCCCGGTGTCTGAAATCGATCACGTCCCGGGGTTTCCAGCCAGCAGCTGTGACTACATCTCCCCTCTGGTCTGGCTGTTTCTGACCGCAGTTGGACCCCCGGCCGTGCTTGGGGCGGACGTCAGTCTTAATCGGGAACGGTCGATGGATGTCATTGATCGTGCGGAAAATGGCGCTCAGATGCCCTGCACGGGAGGATATTTCTCATTCTGACGGCTGGACCGAATTTTAGACGGGAAGTAGGAAGATTTATTTCGAATTCGTAGTCTCCCGGACGACAAAGATTATACGGCGTCCGGCCAATGCCGTTCAAGGTCGGCGGGGGCTGGGCTGCGGTTATCGAACGGGATTGGCCGGACGACGTAGAATGTTGTTCGTCCGGGGAGACTGCGAACACTTTTTGTGTGAAACGCTACTTTTCGTTTATGACGTTACATGAAGCTGGGATTGCAGTGAAATGTCTCTGTGCATGCTGATTATTTTTGCGGGACGTGTTGTGGTCCATATTGGATCGAAAGTAAGGACTATTTCAGCTGATTGATATCCTCATGTTTTATGGGCTTGATAGCTAATTAACCTCCAACTAGCAGCCAGTCATGCTTCGAAGTTCGTTTGTATTCAATGCGTCTTTCGACCTGTCGTTTGCTTGTCATGTGGCGTCTATTTAGTGACTAAAACAAGATTCTCTGGGCAGTCATGGGGCCGTGCTTTCTCTCACCACCTCCAAAGTCCACGAGTCCAACCGCCGGTCACCGGTGCTTTCATTCGTTTAGCCACGGATCTTAGGTGATCCGTGGTTTAGCGAACTGTGTTCTGCGTCGTAACCATGACAACCGGTTCTGCTTCTACCACCCTTGTCATCTTTGCGCCCGGGGGCGGTGCACTGAGCGTACTCGGCACGGTCCGTAGTTTGGAGTGTTATTGGCGGCCGACTGTCGTGACCACAGTGGGGTGCGGCGCGTCCTGTGTCCTAGATGCTCGTGACGAGAGGTGTGGGAATGGAGAAATGTGGACCCAATGAGTATGACTGGCTCCTCGTCTGTTGGTGCTGTTTGGTGAATGCATGCTTCATTTTATTCCATTTAGTACTTAGTTTTTGTTTAAACTTGCCTACCGACGGCGGTTTCTTTTCCTCCGATGCATTTACCCGACCATTTGAAACTACTGTGGGCTTATGTCAAATGTCCTCTTGTCTTGTATCCACATTGATGTTGACCACGTGATCGCCCCCTCCCCCAGGGGTACTGCCCTCTCTCAGCGCCACCTGACCTCGCCCCCCCCCCCCTCCCGCAGTGCCACGCGGACGTCGATGACCTGGGTAAGGGCGGTCACGAGCTGAGCAGCACCACCGGTAACGCCGGCGCCCGCGTCTGCTGCGGCGTCATCGGCATCGCCAAACTGTGAGCGCGCCACTGCCGGGCGGCTGTGAGGTGACGTCATCGGACGTCACACCGGCTGAGTGACGTCACACACACACACTTGTTCAGAGGCGGCGCGGCAGAGTCGTGACTGCCATCAATGTACCCGCCTGTATGTTTGTATCGCTGTACCGTGCGGTCCACAGGGTTTGGACGCTCGCAGAGCGGCACGCGGAAACGTTTTCTGAGGATTGTATTGGCGGTCGGAGTGAGACGGAATGACGCAAGTACAGAAATCGATCACTTACTCTTCAGCTGAGAGCTGACAGCGGTTGTTCGTGAGCACAGTACTACATGTGCTGAACAGAGAAATACACGTACTCTAAACTAACTAGTCGTTAGTTTTTGTCACCTTGCTGGTGCTTAGCGGCTCGGAAATGCAGGGGAAAGGAGTTGAATAAGCGCACTGGTAGAGGCTTAGCGTTGTTAAAATGATGTGCCCACCCATTTTAGATAACCGCGCGCGCCGCTAGTCAAGAACGGTTTCGTGACAGGACTCGGCCAGCAAACTGATCAATGCATTGATCAATCCGTAGCGCAGTCGCTCTGTAGCGCAAATGATAGGTAAGGTCAATCGTGGTGGGATCACGCTTTCAATATGTGACTGAGCATTATATAACACGTATGATCGTGAAAAGCCAGCAGACAGTCGAACAAAGTATGACTCTACCTCTGTGAAAAGCGACTCTGAACCACATTAGCACCCACGCTAGCATCCCTGCCGGTCGTAACGATTATGATCTGTGTACCGTGCGCCACGAGATACCGATGGGCGTTCCCTGTTGACTCAAAGATAGCACACGGTCAGACGGCCCCCCGACTGCGAGCCGAACTGATAAGCTCGTGAAGTGAGCTACTCCAGAGTCCAGAGATGAGCTATCGGAGGGTATACGGGGGGGGGGGGGATGGACTGCTAGACAGGGCTATGAATGCGAAGATGGGGAAAACTTTCATGGCAGCGGTTAGAATTAGATGAACGATCAGTAAGACCACTGCACTGTCGTAGAATGCTGCCACGCGACCATTAGTCATTAGTTTAGTTGGACTGACAAGCAACCGGTGCATATTGGGCGAACTAGAGCTTGGAACATGCAAGGGGTGCTGAGTGATTTATTTATTTTTAGACCTGACTGTTCGAATATGGGAGGTGCCGGACCACGCCGCCGTACTCACGGGTAACAATTAGTTGGGGGAGCGAATTCAAGGATGTTATGTAACAAAATTACGTAACCCTCTGCTCCGGCTGGATTGTGCCCTAGCCAAATCTGAAAGTACGCATGATGGTCGCAGTGCGTAATACTGTTGAATGAATCACATGGCTGGCATGAATCACTACATCAGCCATGGAGGCTTCGTTGCGTCTGGGCTCTGTTTTGTTTTTGAAGCCTTCTATCCGTGAAACGAGCGGAGATAACGTCGGTCATGACGAACGAATATCGCAGATTCTTTCAACATACAGTCTGAAACCCTTCACCCAGCTTCCGGAGAGGCCATAACTGAATTCCGGTCATCGACCCTACTCTTGAGGCTCATACGCATATACCGGGTACAATGCGAATTAACTACAAAACAGTAAGCACACACGAAAATCCATTGACAAAGCATTATATATTATCATATCACGACCATATGAACACGTGAGGTGTTTATAAAACCAGGACCCGTCCTCGCCGCCCCTCCAGGCCCGTGTACCGGGTTGAGACTGTGGCCCGGAGTGGGCGACTAGAGTCCCTCCCGTTCGAGCACCCCTGCTGCAGATCGGCCCGCGGCGGCTCCGTAAATAGGAACTGCACCTCCCTGCCGCCCGCGGCGCGCCATGATTCGTCGCTATACACCGATATACATCTCAAACGCGCAGTACGTTACAGTGATATACATACAGACCAATATACAGCACCAGTCCCAGAACCTCGCAGCCGTACTCTCACACCTCGCCATTAGCGCCATCTATCTTGGCACCGACCGACGGCAGCGCCGCCAGGCGGCCGCGTCGTGAACGCAGCTCGAAGATCTTCTGTATGCTATTCCGGAAACATGTGAAGTTGTAGTCAATCAGACCTGACGGCACGTCCCAGAGATAGATCAAACATAGGATTTATTGTCATGAATGTTATGGAAAACAAGTTGAAGACACTGATAGACGAGGCCGCTTCAGGTTTAAGCAAACGGCTGGCAACACTGGGTGTCCGTCTACGAGATTCGCATAGTGCACTGCGGCCCTCCATCCGTTCCCACCGCACAGTCACAGCTGATCCGCTGCCCTCTACCCGTCTTTTCCCAGCAGCCACCATTTCCCACCCACACTCACCCTGTTTCCTGAAGTTGTCTGCCCGGACGATGCAGACCAGCGCCAGGAAGCGGTTCACCTCCCTCAGGTACAACACGGTCGAGTTGTTGAGCCGGATGATACTCGAGCTGCGCTGGTCGAACCCGCCGTCGTTGTCGCCCTTCAGTCTGAAGACGACAGGGGAGATGGACTCATGAGGCGTGGTATTGCAAATTTAGGTTGGTGCTTAGTGAGGCTTTAGTTAGAGGCCAATACGGAATACGGATGGTATCCTACATTCAAACGGTGCATGGCAGGATAAGTTGAGAGGGCGATGTGAAATGGAGCGGTTATGAACGAGGAAACTGACAGTCGGTTTATAAAGAGTATGGACGTTTCTCATAATGTTTGATTGTGGCAGGCGGCAGCACTATAGGCATTTAGAAAAAAAGTTTCGAATCGATACCATGCAAGACCAGTCGACACTCGGTACGTAGTAACTAGGTAGTACGCATTACCTACCAGCCCACAACAGTGTTGTACCCGTAAAACACCAAGCATGACAACGTTCCGATACCTTTTCTTTGAACAGCACGCTATTGTCGGTGTCTGCAAGTTTTTCTTAGATGAATACGATAGCAATGGCTAAAATAGAACGCTATGTTCAGCTTACAACAGCAAACACTCTGTGTTGTCACGGTTTCTGGCATGTAGTCAAGTGTTAGTGATGTTTACGCTGCACACAATGATGGAAATGCTGATCACGGTCAATCATTTTCACTGAGAGACTACCTTCCACAGAACAGGAGCAAGGTTACAGCCCGCATAAAGTACTGCTGACAACATAGGGGTGCGGAGTGCCAATGACATGTAACGGTGTATATTATGCTGGGAGTAAAACAGACGACAACGGGTGTTCTAGCTGAGCAGTGCTCTTATCGGTGAGAAAGCACAATCTGGTATACAAGAAGGGAAAAATTTAACAAAGAAGTCTATCAGGATTCAAAAGATGACGAATATACACCTGTGTGAGACTTCCTTGCAGATCCAAATTAACGGCTTAAGCAGAAAACATTAGGAATAACTACAAATAAATTACAAGAAATTAAATTTCGAAATAAACAGCGGATGGTGATAACATGAATCATCACCAGCATTTAACTATGAACACCTGGCCCCTTAGCGACGGGCCACAATGCCAGACAGTAAGCCAGGCCACAAAATCACAGTGTGCGGCCCAGACCACAGGTGTGCGGCTGTACCTCAGGACGGCCGGGCGGAAAGAAAAGGTGTCAGGTGTTTCGGCAGGTGTCATGAAAAAAGGCGCTGAATGGGCGGATCGGCGGCACCCACAGGTGGCGTGTCTTCGACAGATACACAGGAGTGAGTCCCGCCCCGTGGCGAGCCTGACACACACAGGGGAGCGAGTCTCTCCCTAATGTGGTTCAATGTCGTAGCACCGTCCGCCTCAAGAACCGAGGACTGGTTACCGAAAGACTGCATTTTTACATTAACCGTGGGACTGATTCCGGTTTTACAGCTTCATTTAGACCCAAAAACGTCCCAATCCGCACACTCATACAGTCTACAGCCTATGAATGATCAACATGCGGCAAAGCACCGACACACTAAGTAAATGCTTTCCAACCACCCCAAACCACCCACCCCTAAAATATCCCTCAGCTCACCCGTATATGCAGGAGAGGTCGATGACGACGTCAATCATGTCACAGCACAGCTCGTAAGACTGCATGTCCACGGGCGACGAGTCGGTGGCGATGTAGATCTTGGAGATGACGTCAAACAGAAACGCCTTCTCAGCGCCAGAGTTCTACGGAATAGGGCAGAGGGCGAGATATTAACGACACTTGGTTACACCTGGCCTATCTGTTCATCTAATCTTATTTTGATATTACGGACTACGGTAGAAAGAAATCAAAACCAATAAAGTAAATTTACTCGTAAAACGAAAAACAGAAAAATGCCCTCAATTTAAGTCTGATCTACAGGCGAGCGAGTTGCTGGGCAGTCGAGTCGACACAACGCTCTCGAAATCTAACCGACTCGAATAAGAAGTATGACACATAAAGGGATGTAGAAGGTGGTCTTCGGTCGGATCAGAGGAAAAAATATAATAAATAAAGAAGCCAGGCATCTATCACGCTTACGAATGCATTTATCATTTCTTAACTGTTTATGTCCTAGTGTGTATACAGATGACCCCTATGTGTCGAAGAGTAGTGCACGTTTCGCGTCTGTGACTGAGACTGTGTACGTAAAGGCCGCCGTCCACTGTGCGGAACGCGTGCGGTCCGTACGGAATTTAACACAGAACCCTATGGGCGCATCCGGTCCGTACGGAAATCGTGTGCGCTCCGTCCGGACCGCATCCGAACGGCAATCAGCTGTTGATTTTCCGTCAGCTCTCCGCATGCGTTTCGGATGCGGTTGCTACGGAGACGGAAGAGTGATGTTCGACGCGTTGAACTTTTCCGCATCCGGAACGTCCGGAACAGACGTGGTTTGGGGCCGTATCGGAGGCAAACATTGTGAATTGTACGAAGAATTGGAACTCGATCATCATGAAGTAAGTAAACATTATTTCCTTAGAATGGCAAGAGTATTCGCTGCTGGTTACTTGCAATATTTTATTTGGTAATAAGTGATAGGAAACATTTATTAGCTCTCCGCATCCGGACCGCATCCGGACCGCATCCGGACCGGATGCGGCGAGCGTGCGGCGACATTCCGGACGGACTCCGGACGGAATTCCGTCGCAGTGGACGGCGGCCTTAACTCTATACCAGCGATAAATAAACCGGGCTATGTCCCATGTTCAACTGCAGATAAACATTTCAATGGGAATGAATGTACTAAAATATAAGTTAGCCGAGCAAACTGAAAGCCGTAACCGCACCACTGACGGTCACAAAAGACGTTCCACAGCGGCATTCCGTGCCACTCCAGGGAGACCCGTCATTAAGATCGGGCGGATAACACCGTTAGCACGGAGTGGTGACGTCACCAATCCCTTCGGCCGGCGAAAAGGAAAACACTTGCATAGACAGCTTATTAGAAAAGCTAGTGCCTGTAGTTCAGGCAAAGATAGTCATACACCGCTAGTGATCCTGCAGTCATTGGGTTCATATACATAGACTCCAGGTAATGGAATCAGAAGCATCATTCCCACTGTTAACTGGCCACCATTTCCATTTTTGGACAGCTAACCCGTCTTGCTAATGTTACTGTCTGTCTCGTTCAATACTTTTACCGCAGTATATCGTGTTTGTGTGTTTGAAAACAGCTCAGAGATTTTGATGCAACTGCAGCCAAACGGCGACCTCTACTGTCTCAGGGCCGAGCGAGGCCAGCCAAATCAAAACTCCCCAGAGCGTCTGATGAAACCTCCCCAGAGGCCATCACAGAGCGGCCGACTCACCGAGATGAAAATATCCATCAGATTCTCCAGCGTGGGCAGCTCGGGAATCAGCTTCTGCACCACCTTGCTGAACGCCTCGAATATGCTGTGGTCGTATATTGATGTCAGGTATATGCTCAAGTGGATGTTGTCCATACCTGGAACACGGAATATGGTTACAATGCGCGTAAAGATAATTAAATCGACATGGATAAATCAGTCACTGCAGACGGCTAGCATGGCGAAAAGCAAACCAAACATAGCGGAAAACTATTGTCATTTGCCAAATTTGCATAACATCTAATAACAATAAGTTTATTTTCAAGTAAGTTTATTTTATCATGCCATGCTACGACAATTACAAGCTATCAAAATAAAATCCTCCCTACACTCTACGCAATGAGAGATGAACACATAACAGGTGCGGAAGGCGGACGAGCCCGGCCGGCTGTGTCCCGGGACTCACTGGCGTCCAGGAGGTCGTCGTGCGCGCGCTGGTGGATGTCGCGCTGGATGTCGATCCGCTGGTCGTCCGACAGGCCGTCCACCTTGTGGATGAACACCTCGAACTTGATGTTGGGGTCCACCTTGTAGGCCTGGATCACCGTCTGCTGCAGCTTGTTCAGCGCGTCCGTGTAACCGTCCTGGCGGAAAAGGCCATCGCGAATCGTCACTAAGAAGTTCTACCAACAAGAGAATAACATTTTTACACTAAAAAGAGAACCTACATCGCCATTTGACGTCATTAACAATCCACATTGAGAATTGTAATAAATTAAAGTACAAGCTTTGTGGGATGCTGCAATCTGCATAACAAGGCATACAACGGGGTCAATTTTACCAATGCATCATCAAACCATTTTTTTAAAGTCACATAGGTATCCCACCAAGGTGAGGTCGATTCGCTTTTTGTCTGGCCCTCTGTTCCTATTGTATCGCTATCGTAACTGTTGTGCTGAAAGCCCGAACTAGAAGTGAACGCGGAGGCCGATGATACAGCGTCCAAAGTCCAATGGGAGGTCGTCAAGATAACAAGCTATCTTCCTGACTAGCATCTGTAAGATACGAGTACAATGCTAAGCCCAGGGCAAAACTAAAGCCGGAGATATATTTCCACCCTAACAGAGCTATCACAAATAGCAGCAAGGATTTTAATAGGCCGATGCAGCACACTAAAATTCAATATCGTTTGAAGTGGAATATCCTATTTGTTATTTAACTAGACGACATACGGTTATTTTGCATACTTTGAGAGAAATCTCTGTCACAAATTACAGCTTCCAGTTTGATAAGCCGCTCTAGCACCAGTGCTAAAGCAGGATCACAAGTACAACGTCTCTGACACATAACTGGTAAGCCGGAGGACAGAAATTAATGGGTTAAATCCCTAGGTTCATATACATCCGGCGTATTTTTAGAAAATCATGATGTGAGTTATGACTTACGTCTAATGTTTTCGTGATTGACGGTTTGCAAGATAAGCCCTTCCAATGATAAAATGACGCTATAATGGTACAGGTTATGGAACTTCACAGGTACCATAAATATAAGCGCTTTAGCCGCACGGCCAGCTTTGGATCATGGCGATAACGTTTAGGATATAACAAGATGACGGCCATAATGGCAGTATCTATAGAAGTGAATCACCTTTGGTCCTGCTATTTGGTGAGCATAGCCAAAATGACCCATTGTGATGTTGTTGATCCATGCCTCCACAAAGATATCATTTGTTTTATACGTTTTGATGCTTCTACCTCCATACGTTACGTTTTTATATTTGTTTTATACAGTCTGTTTCATACGGATGACTTTGCCTATTAGTGGGAGGCCTTATCCCGTTGGCAATATACTGAATAAAAAAAAAAACATCTTAAATTAGTCAACTACAGCCAGCCACTCTGCAACAGCTAAGCTCAAAACGCGCATTCTTTCCTTATTCCTTTATCCTTAGACTACCTGTCAATCCCTAAAGCCAGCCAGCCCGCCCTGCGATCCCCCCTCCCCTCCCTGATTTCCACACCCGCCCACCTGCGCGTCGATGACAAACAGGAGCGCGCCACAGCCGCTGAAGATGAGCTCCGTGTCGTATGAGCTGTCAAAGAAGTCGATCTGGCCGGGGAAGTCCCACACCTGGAAGCGCACGAACGACGAGTGCGGCACGTCGTCTTTGACGATCTTGTTGGTCGACTCGAGAAAGAGCGTCTCGGCCGGTGACATTTTGTGAAACACCACCCGCTGAATCGACGACTTGCCGCTCCTGGGGCACACACGGGTCAGCGAGTGTTAGCATAATTTAGTGAATAGGCGCTATCGCAGGAAATAAGCCCTCTTTGCAACAGCCTAAAATTATGTCACCGACTCTTATCGCTCAATAATGTAACTCCCACTGCCGCAATGCTGAGTGCTGGCATGCCATACAATCATCAAAGTCCGGCGATGGAGCATTTGAGCCTACCTATCGCTACGGCCTACGAGTCTACCTAACGATAAGATTACCTATCTCCGACACTTCACCTTAGCCCATAGCTATGCTGCTGGCCATATACCACTGAACTCTGCAGGACATGACCCTTGGATTGTCTACGGCATAAGATTAAGATATGACATGCTGTTATGGGCATAGTAACAACAACTGACCCGTCATTTTATATGAAACTCTGATCAGCGTATTGCAAATAGCATACCTACTTTTAAATGTTGAAGCCACAGGAACATGAAACATCGTTAAAATTAAATGTAAAGCTTGACATGCCTACGAAATAACCACAAGATTCCAGTGTCGCTATTTTCTAGACCATTTTTAGGAAACAAAAGCTTGCGAAAATAGCAAGGGAATGGGGTCCGACACCTTCAAAAATCCACGTACAATTCACAAAAATATTTGAAAAGTATGATTTCTAGCTACCGAATCCGAAAACAATAATAATTTTCCGAAATTCGAAAACAAATAATTTTCTGTAACTACAAAGTGAGCATGGTCCGTCTAACTGTAACGATATCTCCCTTCAACTGCCTATTTTAGACTTCAGCTGAATTCGACGAGAAATAAGCAATCTTTTCCAGCGCCAAGGTTTCACGAAGACTGCCTGGTTTTGGGTAAACATTCGCAGACCTACCCAATCGCGGCTGGCGTGTCCACTGTCCAGCATTCCTCGATATCCCGTTAGATTTACAGCACAGCCGATATCGCTGCTCATACACACACTAAGGTGTGCATAAAACCGAGCCCACCCGATAAATACCGGGTTCAGCAGAGCCTGCGACGTACAAAGCCCGTGGTCTAAACACGAGGCCGTGACTCCATAACTACCCCGGAAAACGAGACGTGACTGTTCCTGCAGACAGCAACTGCCTCACTAAGCACTGTGTGCCTGATGTCATGTCAATGTGCTCAACCGGCGCGTCTTGTATCGGCCAGTTCAGCATATCGATGGATGATTAGACTACCTATCTACTAGAGCACTTCACGGATAGGCTTTTTAGGATCCGGCCCGGCCCATATCCGGCAAGTCATATCCAGATCCGCCCATTATCCGCCTTTCTTTGAATATCAGAATCCGGCCCACCCATGGCCCGTATTGCAGCCAAACTTCCAAAAATATCCGTAATAATCCGTTTCACCAATAACTGGTTTCACCCAAAACTGGACTAACAAATTCAATCTAAGGGACCAGACAGCCATACATCTCATAGACCATCATGGTTCCAAAAACCATGCATACATTGCATACATTATCCACTTGAAGACAAGTCTTGTGACAAGTGTCATAAAATGATGCCTATTACTTTAATCAAACCTCTGCTGCGGCTTAACACATTAGGTTAATTTTTAACTTCAATGTTGAATGTTAAAATTTTGATCCGTTTTGATCCGGGTTCAACCTTCAATTCCCAAATCCGGCCCGCCCATATCCGTTCTTTTTTAACAAATTTAGAATCCAATCCTATCCGGTCCGCGGATTTATCCGTGGATAACGGATTTATCCGGCCCATGAAGTGCTCTACTATCTACTCAATTCACCAACTGAACACCGATGCAAATTACCCGAAACATCACTCGCCGACACCGGAGCGGACGTGCAGCTAGACAACCCGCAGGGCACAGCATCCATTCGAGGGACGCTACGCCGTTCAGCATTCACCTCACTCGAAATGAGAGAGGTCACTGACATTGCTTTCACTATTTCGATTTCACGCCGGCGCGGCGGGTCAGACAGACGCAGCCGGGGACGTACCTACCGTCTCAAGCCCATCAGCAGGATCTTGGGCTTCATCTCGACGGTGCCGAAGATGTCGCCGTCCTCCTCCGGGCCGCAAAAGTCCTTGGGGTAGGAGCCCACATAGGAGCGGCTGTAGTCGTCGTCCACTTCGTAAGACTGAAACAGAGGAGAGGGGGCACGGGTGATGGGTTTTGGTATCGTGACGGTGAAACAGCCCACACCTCAGCTGTGACCACGGCTTCCAGCAACAAGTTGAGGGGTGAGATATCGCTGGTAAAATCGTTAGAATAACCATTCTGGGAAGACGTTCGTCGAAATACAAAATTTGCTGATGACACGGACGTTTGTTAAGTTTGCTGATGACACTGATCTACGGCATCTACGTGTGCGGACTCAACCTCCAGTATTCGCTGAATGTCTAAGAACAGAGCCCTATCCACACAGGGCAATCAGGAATCGGCATTTCCATTACTTCTTTTGATTCATCAATCACTGTAGTGTGGCAGTTGGCAGTCTCCTGCCAAGTTGCAGGCTATTCGTGATCAGGATTTTCTGGCTCTTTCTGACAGACGAGCCCCTCTGAATATGCCCCGAGCTTCTGGTGTCAAACATCAGGCAGTAAACCAAGATCTCTATGAGTAAACGAGTAAACCACCGGCTCTTGTACACGAGCTGCCACGCTCTGAAATACCGAAACGAATCACATGCAGCTTACTGATAGGATTCACATGCAGCATGCATATTGCATACCATATGATCTATTTTTACGCGCTTTGCATCATACGACTACAACCAGCTTGTACATACTCAGCAAGTTCCGATTATTCATCATCAGTCACTTGTCAATCTTCAGTCATCGTCTGGGAGTAATATTCCTGTCTCATACCAGGAAACGCTACTTTTTGATTTCTAAACACAGCTTTTTGGTACACAACATCTAATCAAATCAAACTTGAATCACCTCGCGCTGAAGCGAAGGTAGCGGACCGTTCCCAACTTCTCCCGGCCACGTCGCTTAGCCCTGTGTGGTGGTGACGTCACTCCTGGTTTCAGTGACGTCACTGACTGCTATCGAGCGCGGCGCGGCGGCGGCGCGGCGGCAGAACCGTATCGGCAGCAGCGGACGCCGCGTGTGCGCCGAGTGCCACCGACAGCGAGAGTGTGAAGTGGTAGCGCAGTGACAGCCGAGCTCAGCAGAGACCATGCCGAACGGCGGCGAACCACTGCGGGGCGAGGCCCAGGCGTGGAAGGCGGCGCACCCGCCGCAGTGCCCGCACCGGCCGTGGGGGTACGGCGCCGACATGAGCCCGCCGCGGCCGCCGGCGCGCGCGGCTGCCGCCCGCGGCCTGCAGCTCATCCTGGCGGCCACGGCCGGCGCCGCCGGCTACGCCTACTACCACAAGGTGAACGGCTACTCGTGCGACAAGCACCACCACCCTCCGAAACACCAGACGCCGCCGGGCGGGCACAAGTAGCGGCCCCGCCCGGCCGCACGGACTGTCAGAGAGAGGGCGTCGGCCGCCCGTATCGCGGCCGAGCGGCTTTGTGCGGGTTTCCGAGGCTGGCGGACCGAAAACCGCGGCGGAACGGGCCCGTTACGGACGCCGAATCGGTCACACAGGAACACGGAAGCCACAGAACGCCGGCTTCAGCCGCAGCGTGTCGGTAGGGGCGGAGGCGGCGACGAAGGGGCGGAGGGAGAGCGCCTAGCAGCCGCTATCCGCAGCACTGTATGTGTACCGTGACCTTGGACAGAGCGACCGACGTGAGAACTCAGGAGCAAACGTGGCGGCTGGCTGCCACCAAGAGGGGCGAGCCGCTACAGAAAACTGTGAACCATTTGTGAGTCGTGAGAGACGCTAGTGAGTCGTGTGAGAGACGCCAGTCAATCGTGTGAGAGACATTAGTGAGTCGTGTGAGAACGCTAGCGAATTGTGTGAGTTTCTGCATTGTGAAGTGTGCGTGCAGTGAGCAGGTTGTGATGGCCGCGGTACTGCAGTGAGTCTCTGAGCCGTGCTCCCGTGTGCTGTGAGCTCAGTATCTGTGCTCAAAGCCGGCCCTGAACAAGTCTCAGTCAGCCAAGCGGAAAGCCACATCCCGTGCGCAATCCCCCCAAAAAAACTCTCCAGTAAAGCTGCCGTAGCAGTGAAAAAAGACCACCCGGGAAGGCGATACCGTCCGCCCCATCCACCGCGGGCAGAGCCGAGTGGCGTGCGGGCTTTGTGCACGCTGCCGGCCTCAGCTGTCTGTCCGCGGCGCGTTGGCCGCGCGTTGCGTGCGAACCGGCCGTGCAGCCAACCCGGCTGGCCGGCTGTAGCGAACCCGGTAGTCAACAGTGCAGCCGACGTGCGAACACAGGACCGGCTTTGACAGCAGGCTATTCCTGTCCCCAGTCACGTGACTGCGATACGCGCCGCTCGCGCGCGCCCACGTGCTCTGCACGATCACGCCAGGAGCGGAGCGCACTTTTTGAGTCCCTCCTCTGTGCAGAGTTTGGATGGGGATGGCTGTGGGGTTCCAAGGCGACGTTTGATTACTTGAGTGTGGAGCGTTACACAAAGTCGTTTGTTCGTGTCTGCAGTACTCAAGGCCGCATTCCAATACATGTATTTTGTAGACGGCCGCCGGAGTTCTCTAAGCAGCATTATCTGAGGGCGAGACTGACTTGGCCGCACACATTCGGTCAGATTATGAGATCTACACGCAGCCCGCGTAGCGGCAAGGCACTGAGCCAGGACACAAGCCGGAAGACGCGGTGAGCGTCAGCTGTTCACGCTACCATCTGTTTAAAAGTTTTAGTACCCCGTGAACTCAAACTGTGAAGCAGAGGGTCGAATGTTCAGGGCTAAATTCATGGGTACAGGAGGGGCTTGGGGTGCGAGCCCGGTGTAGCATCGAGCACGCTTAAGTTTAGGTGTTTGAATGTTTGATAAATCAACACACATCAATCAATCTTAGATGGAACTATAACGATCTAACCGCAAGTCATCTGCAACACCGTAACGGGACAACTAGAACTTTACCGAGTGGCCACGGGTTCATTTGACCACCACTCATAAATCAAGCAGGCTCATCAATTAGTGGAATTGCCGATGCCCAACGCCACAAAGTGCAACAAAGGTGCACTCATGCAGGGATTTTCAAGGCTCTTGGAGCGTAACCCACGAGCGCAGCGCCATTCAAGTCGAATATTAGCCGTGTGAAAGACAACACAACGCAACATTTCCCATTAGCTGATAACTCAGTCATTAGCACCAGTCAGACGATCATTTCAGTTATTCCAGTCACATCACGAGGCGTGGGTTGCTAGGAGGCGCGGCCCGCTCTGAGTCCGCTGAGTGGTCGACTCCAGCTCAGCGCGGCACACCCCACCAAGGCTGACACGCCAGGCGTGAGTGTGGGAGGACGGCCGGGTCCGATCCGTATCGAGACGGGCGCTCGGTCCAACGGACACCTGCGTCATAGTGAGCCTTGAGGAACAACTGAGTGCAGTCGCCAAAGGCATGCGAAATTACGATGCACCCAAGCAGCAGGGGTCACTGCCGGCTCAGAGGCAGGTAATATTTGAAGCTCCGCCTTACCATTGTTCGGTCCATCACCTGACAGGCAAATTTGCATACCATCCAACGCACGGACCAAGTGTCAGTGCCCAAGCCGAGAGTGGGCGTCTGTATTTTTAGTCTGGCATGAAGTGCCACCTGTGGTGCATGGTCCTGCGGCCGGCCATCACTGGCGGCTGCGTGTGAGTAGACAGAGAGGAGCGTGTGCACTGTGTACTGGGCAGGAGAGGAACGCAGCGAATCAGAGCCCAGGGCACGTATCGACGAGCGTTTGTTGCGAGCACGATTTGCAAATCACGCAGCGAAGAGCATAACACACGCCCTGGGCACAAGGCTGACCAGCGCAGAGCGAAACTGAGACGCAGAAATGTACGGATGACGCTACAGAAGCTGGCAGCGAACTCAGCGACACCGTACCTACAAAAATCTGTTATAACAGGAGACTCGTTGTCGGTATCTGACTGCTTTATGCATGAAGAATGTCCAAACGATTAACATTGAAAACGCATAGCACATGCCTCTGCATAGTTAGAGGCCTATGCTTAAAGCTATATTTTTCAATACACGGCCTATCTCTAGCGGCAGAGCTTGATAAAGGCGAAAATAAACGTTTGGCGCTCGGATGTGGCCATCGAGCACACATACTGAGCCTTCGGACTCCTCATCGGCACAGACTAAACGCAGTTCCCGGGAGAATGATAGTAAATCATTTCAGTATTTCACATTGAAAGTTCATTACCAGTTTTAACGTTGATCCACTGTTCGATACCAGTGATGTAAGTGACCTACAACCGAATTAGATCGAATCTAGCCGCTCTAAACTGCGCATAAACTGCAATTGTACCAGCAATTGCGATATTATACAACTAACTATTTAAAGGGGCTCAAGTCTCAAGATCCGGGTATTCGGTTATAAAACGAGTATCCAAAGTTATGCGAAGAAAACTGAAGGATATGACGAGGTTTATTTTACAAAGAAACGGCGCGGATATCGAACAAAACCTAAGCCACTGCACGGGTCTCCTTATTTACTATCGGCTGAAGATGGATAAATTGCAAAAAGAGTAGCAATTCTTAGCCAGTATAAAGACATCAAACCACAGAGATCGATCACCGAACATTGACGACATTCACGACAGGTCTGGAACGCGAAGACATCACGTCATTAATCTTCCGTGCACGTCCCTGCATTGACGATGCTGCAAAAATCCACCAACTTCCCAAAGCGTTGCAAGCATTCTGTGGAATGACAGCAGAAAACGCTAGACATGCGCAAAACTCATTAACCCTCGCCCATGTAGGGGGGGGGGGTTGGTGCAACCCCCCCCCCCCTGAGGTTTTTCGGAAATAGTGCAAAAACGGCGGCGCGCAGCGCCGCCAAATTTTGGGTACCTTATGGGGCAAACCTTGCGCATCTTTTGATAAAAAAAAATTTGACCGGGTCATGTCAGGTCACGGAGTTATGACGTCACAAAGGGAACAGCCTCCGGCCGGATTTTCACAAACTGAGTGCCAACGCCCGAGGTTTCCTGCCGGTGGTACGGACATCGGTTGATGGATCGTGATGAAACTTCCCATGCATGTTGGGGCAAGTAT